AAGTTTGATAAAGAGACTATAAAAACTACTATAGGTAAGAATTTAATATATGATAGGGGGTATTATAAATAAGTGGGAAAGGAATATGTTAGTAAATACATGTATTGGAACCACTTATAAAAAGTGTACAGTACACATGTCTATTTTATATCTTACACCAAAATAAATACTGCATGACTTTTTAAGTGAAAAAATAGAAAGCCATAAGGTGACAGAAGTCTGTAGTTGAACATTTACATATTTATATAATTCTGAAGTAGGGGGCCTCTTAATAGAAATCATAAAGTAAAAGAAAAACAGACTGGTGATAAAATACTCTATTTATCAAAAACATTTAAAAAGCTAATTTCAAACTGGTAAAATGGATCCAGTATACATAAACAATAAAAATACTAATACATACTAAATATTATATATAAAATACTAAAAATACTATTACATAAGTAGCTTGTATAGATCAGTAAGAGAAAAAATGAACAATACAAAAGAAAAAAGAGAGGATTAACGACAAACAGGCCAACTTACAAAAGAAAGGACAAATTTTCACCTATCAAATTGGCAAAGATGAAAAGACAGTGATTATGTTTGACAAAGGTACAAGAAATGGGCACTCTTGACCATGACATGGACAATCATTCTTGAGGGAAATTTGGCAGTATGTATGAAAAGCGTTAAAAACGTGTATCTTTCCCTTTTTCTGAGGTACCTAAACTAAGCAAATTCACAGAGACAGAAAGTAGAACAGATATTACCAGGGGCTGAGGGAGGACCAATGGGGAGCTACTAGTGAATGAGTACAGACTTTCTGTTTGGGATGATGGAAACATTCTGGAAATGTATAATGGTGATGGTTGCACAACACTGTGAATATACGTAATGCCACTGAATTCTATACTCAAAAATGATTAAAATGGCAAACTTTAGGTTGCAATGTTACCACAATTTTTAAAAGTTTTTCCATTGCATGACTATAAACATTCATTAAACCATTTTTCTATTATTGAATATTTAGGTTTTTCCCAAATTTTTAACAATTAAAAATATGATTAAAACTTAGACCCAGTATTTTCATTTGTTAGGATTTATCCTATGATAATAATGAAGAATATGGGTAAAGATATGTATTTTCTTCCTGGCCCTGTTTATAATAATAAAAAGTGGGAAATGTAAGTAACCAATATATAGGATTGGTCAAATAAATGATCATACACAGTGGAAAATTAGGCAGCTATTGAAAAGTATACTACAGACAAACATCTATTGATATTAAGGGGAAATGATTAAAAACAGTATGTATGTAAACTTTAAAGGAAGTAAATGCATAGGAAAGTACCTGGAAGAATATATAAATTTTTGTTAGCAGTATTACCAATGAGTGAATGGGATTTGTTACGTATTTATGCTTTTTTTTCTTGTTAGTATTTTTCTGCAATGAGCATGAACTCTCTTTGAAAAAAAAACTAATAAAAGAAACTTAATTTTGAAGAAATCAATTAGTAACCCTCCCAGTTATTTTTCCTTTCTCAGAGGTAACACTGTGCTTTCACTTACTGTACAAAGTGCCCCCCCCCCAAAGAAAACATCAGCTTGACAGATTGTTTATTATTATCTGACAGACCAGCAGGTATTTCTTTCCCTGAACTAAATAACTATGAATGTGGTTATATGAAGAAATCCCTAGGGCACCTGGGTGGCTCAGTTGGTTAAGTATCCAACTTCTACTCAGGTCATGATCTCACGGCTTATGAGTTTGAGCCCCACGTCAAGCTCTATGCTGACAGCTCAGGGGCTCCAGGCTTTGGATTCTGTGTCTCCCTCTCTCTCTGCTCCTCCTCTGCTCACGCTCAGTCTCTCTCTCTCTCAAAAATAAATACACATTTAAAAAAATCAAAAAATAAGAAATCCCTTTGGGCTTTGGTTTGCTTCTAAGCTGTGCAAAGTATCCAATGAAAATACTTTCTACTTTTGCTAATGAGGTGGGTTTCCTTTTAGAAATGAGGGAGATGCTGTCACTGAGGAGTAACGCTACATGTGAAGCATGTTAGACATTCAAGTATCTGACCGGAACCTAGTAAAATGAGAGCAAGAAAACCGTAATGCCTTATACAGTATCCCAAAAGCATATGCAACCGTAGAAGAAATAATATTATAATAGAGGTATATAGCAAACAGATCCAGTCCCAAAGGCATTTTTGTTTGGGTGTCCCATATAGTAGTTGTAAATCTAGAACAGGAAACTTAAAATAATTAAGATCACATATTTATAACATCATATTCAATTAGGTTAGAAAAGTGCAATTTCTGTCATCATGTCATAAAAAGATGTGTTTTTCTCTCAGATCTCTTATAAAGAAAAGTCTCCTCTATTGTTACAGATAGGGCTGTTTTCAATCAGTTACAAGGAGCAATTCAATTACTAGATGGTTTAGTGCAGTAACTGACTCCAGACTAATTTAATTTCTTTAGGTCTCTAAAGATCAATTGATCTGATTTGACCCATCCCCAAAGGCTGTTTAGGGAAAATTCAGACTTAAATACCTGGAAATGAAATCCAAAACCTTGGCCAATTTCACACTAGTTAGGTCATCTTGCAAACTTTCAGCTGGTCACAGAAGATGCTCTTTTTGCTCTCAGACCATTGAAAGCTACTCAGCTTCACGTTCATGTGACTGCTCCCCACATCAGGATGCTTATTCAATAAGTGGAAAATGTGCCTGCATGTATTATTAAATCTGCTGTTCTAAAGGGCAGTCAGTCTGGGGACTCACATCTCGTGAGCGCACGTGCAACTAAGAGGCTATTTTTACTCTAGGAGTAGTTTATTAAGACTACTAAAGTACACTTAGATGGGGCAAAAAAATAATAATATAATTATTTCATATTTTTATATTTATAAGGTATTTCATAAATGTTATCTTACTTGGTTCTCATAACAAACCTATGAAGTGAGCAGGGTTATTGTTCCCATAGGAAACAGACTCAGAGGCTAGGAGACTTCTCCAGGATCACTGTGCCAGTAAAAGGCAGAGCTGGGAGTCTAACTGATGAGTTTGTCCCCCAGTATATTATACCCATCCTTTGATTTGAGACAGAAGATAGGGCACACACTACAAAAACACACCACTACGGCCCCACTGAGCCACTGTCTTTATTCTTACCTGCTACCTGACTTAAACAGACAAGTTCCCTTATGATTCCACCTGTACACATCTCCTTTGCATCAGTGCCTCTGGCGTTCCAGAAACAAATGAAAAAGGTCACGCTTGAATGAGAGCAGCCTTTGCAAATGGACTCATTTGTCACCCACACTGCTGATGCTACATTCTCACTGACTTCAGTCTCAAGGCCTATCTGCTTGCCTTTGTCCCACCTAATTAGAGAGCTACCCACTTGGAGTCTCTCTGCAGTTTGCAATGGATTTTCTTTTCTTTTCTTTTTAAAAAAAATTTTTTTTAATGTTTATTTATTTTTGACAGGGAGAGAGAGAGAGAGAGAGCGCGCGCGAAAATGAGTGGGGGAGGGGCAGAGAGAGAGGGAGACACAGAATCCGAAACAGGCTCCAGGCTCTGAGCTGTCAGCACAGAGCCCAACGCGGGGCTTGAACTCACGGACCGCGAGATCATGACCTGAGCCGAAGTCGGACGCTTAACTGACTGAGCCACCCAGGCGCCCATGCAATGGATTTTCAACCACAAGCTCAATTTTCTTTCCCTGATCTCAGCACCCACAGCCACTTGTCAAGCTCCCCAACCACTTAATGTCTCTCTTTTACTCAAATCCCATAGCACCTGCCCCACTTTCAGCCTATCCTGCTGGCTTCTCCACCTCCCCACTGAGTCTCTATATCTGTTTCTCCAACTCAAAACCACCCACCCCCCATGCTCTGCCACTTGGGAAGGCTGAGGGAAGGATCAGAAAGATGTTGTTAAAATGTGTAATTAGTTCTTCATCTGTAATTGCCAGGACAGGTTGGAAAGAAGTGCGGAGGTCAGGAGACGTGACCATGTGGTAGGTAACACAGGGTGTGACAGAGACGTATAGCAGTTAGTAGGGAAATCGCACAAAGATTTGGAGGTAAATTAAACCTAAAGGCTGGTGGTGAGGGTACACCACCTGTCAAAGACTTCAGGCCACATAAAAGAATAAGTTCAGAAGATAAAAAAGGTCTAAAGATCTAATGTGTAACATGGTGACTAGAGTTGATAACACTTTTTGTATAAGTGAAATCTGCAAAGAGAGGAGAACTTAAATGTTCTCATACAAAAAAAAAGTACAGAAAGTTACATAGTAGGTGTAAGAGTTACAAATAATCAGGTTGAAAAATCTTCTCCCTATGAAAAACACACATTTTTTTGACATTCCTATGGGCAAGCTATGGATCTCATTATAGTCATTACTCATCACATAGATGGCCTCGCAATGTGTGAACCATTTCAATTAAGTAAAAAGTGAAGTTACAGGCACACGATTGTCACTTGTCTTCTTAAAGGTCCTGAGATCTGATGTCTCTCCTACAACACAGATGCAGTCTACACCATAGGTAAAATATGTGCCTTGAATTAAATTACATCTCCTTGCTTCGACATTCCAAACTACTCATATCCTTCATGCTAGCAAATATGTCCACTTCAGAAGGCAAAGGCTATCAAAATTCCATTTCTCTATAGATTGCCACTCGAGACATGAAGCTTAGTATCATCAAAAGGATTGAGTCGTTGATAATGAAGAAACCCTATTTTTTACAGTTGAGTAAATGTCCCAACCAAAAAAAACACTTCCTTGGAAATAGCACAGAGCAGATGCAGACATAGCAGCTGTCAAAGCTTAAGCAGCTGCATATCTAAGGGTTTATAGGTGGAAGGGGAAGTGGGGTGGCGAATCGGAGACTATCTACAGCAAGGTTATGGTTCTTTGGCGTTGAAAGGAGTGTGTTCCTACAAACTCGCTCTTTTTTTTTTTATCTTATCTGGACAAAAAAGTAAACAGAAAATTCTCATTACCTCTCAATGTCAGTGAGCCTGGAGGAGTCCCGGAATCCTTTGGCAAAAGGGTTGCTATCTATTTTCAGCTTGGTTATCTGGAAAGGAATGAATGGGCAACAAGACAGTATCATTTCCAAGGTTTGAGTTTGTTCATTTTCCATGCCACCCCAAGAAAACTTAACGTCTCTCAGGACCATGGGAAGGGTGGAAAGTGACAGAGAAGTTCGCAGGAGGGATGGATCACAGCTGAGAGGGACACCTGATCAGGGAAGGCCTTAGAGAGGAGGGATTTGGAGACCGGCTGGTCCTGGAGAACAGGCTGAAGGTCAATGTATAGAGACAAATGGTGGGGGTGGAGCTTTGTGAACACTGTGGCTGCACTGTGAAGTATTGAAGAGAGCAGTGAGTGAGGGAGCTGTCTAGGCCAGCACTGGTGGGTGATGGGGAATAGAAACAAGAATGTTGCCTCATGCTGAGTTGGCAGCATCATTTGTGAATCCTATAGGCACATACATATACCACAATGGATGCAAAGATAAAATGGCCAATAATAGCTTCATGTTCAATACTAGATTGAAATCCATGACATAAATACATGATATAAAGCTTTCAGAGTATAATTTACCCCTGCTCCCCTTTCCATCTGACCAAATTAGAATCAGTCTTTTGTTATCCTCCCGTACAATGCTATTTATAGACTCCGTGCTTACACAGGAAAAAAAAAATTCCCTAATAAGAATCATAGTCTGAAGTCCTGAGTACCTACAATGTCCTAGTCATAATTCCCACAGTATTAATATTAATGTAAAAAGATCCATTAAATCATATGTACTTGTCCATCTAAAGAAATAGACATCAGGTTAAGAAGCAAAAAAATTAAAGAAACACCGATTAAAAGATACCTGACTTGTAAAATTCATGATTAGAGCCGAAAAGAACCCAGGAGGACCAGGACACGGCTAATAGATATCTGAATTAGAACCACAGACACCTTTAAACAGAGTCATAGGCCATTGGTATCAAAACAAGAACCCATGTAAATCTTTAGAGAGAAATGCACAGAACAGTCTTAACCTGAAGAAAAAGTTACAATTGAGGCACATCCTCCTCATAAGCACTAAACAACAATCAAAATAACCTGAAATACTCTTATGCCAAAATGCAACTATTCCTCTGATCAGAGTGTAGCCGCTGTTCATTTTAAATAACACCTAAAGAATTGCTTTTTTTCATTACAGAAGAAAGGCATTTTTTTCCATTTTGAGTTTTCTAAATATGAACTAACCAATGTACAAGCTGCAAAGAAGCTGTTTGCCTCACGTAAACTAGAACTTCCTGCGCTATCCTATTCAGAGACTGCACTACTCTGCCGTGAACACTGGCAGGATATAAGATTGATCACTGGATACTATTACGTCTTAAGAGTACTCGACAATATCTCACAAATGTTCATTTTTAGCCTTTTCACTCTAGTGCAGCCAAAAAAAAAATTACTAATTTCCTTTTCAGCTTAGTTAATGGACATTGGTAAATAAGGAAGGAAATAAGAAAACTGTTCTTAGTGAATAACAACAGCTAATTTAAGTTTGCATATAAAGAAATAGCCAGGACCTCTGAGGTTGCCTGGTTGATGGCCACCCAGGGTTCATACAGAACCTTCTCTACCTCTCCACCACCACTTCCATAGCCATGGATTTCTCAAGGGTCAAGTCTGTGTCAGTCCTTCTTTCAGAGTAGGATTTAGGTTTGGGCTTTTGTTTGTTTATTTTATTTTTGTCTGGGGGGGGGGCAAGTGAGCAAAGGGCAGAGAGAGAAAGAGAGGAGAGAGAGAATCTCACAAGGGGCAGGGAGAGAGAAAGAGAGAGAGGGAGAAGTGGGGCTCACCCTGAAGTGGGGCTCGAGCTCACCCAATGCAGGGCTGGAACACACAAACCATGAGATCGTGACCTGAGCTGAAGTTGGATGCTTAACTGACTGAACGACCCAGATGCCCCAGGATTTAATTTTGAAGGTCAATTTTCAGGATGAAGGAGAAATTTTTTATTTGTTTGAAATAAACTGTAAACATCCTCTAAAGCACAAGCAACTCCTATGTTCTAAAAACACCAACAAGAGTTTTAAATCCTCAGATAGGAGCTATGTCTCTTTCTACTGAATAATTGTAAGTTAAAACGCTTTCTATTTCCAAAGTGCCTTATAGTTCATGAAAATGCTTTCACAATCATTCATCAGCACATCTTTAACGAGAACCGATTACCTATCCTGTACTATGCTAAATGTTGGATCGTGCAAAACTGAAGAACACATGGTCCCTGCCCTAACGGAGCTTAAAATTCCAAGGCACAAAGCAGAGGGATACATAGCTTCCCAGAACAGACGGTGACTTACAGGCCACTAAAGATGGTGGCACCATAGTCACTGAAGTGCTAGTGATGTTAAGGGTGAACCAAACCCAGATGAAAATTTCAAACCAAAACTGTGAGGTAGGACAGTAAAGGCTTCCTTCAGGCTCAAGTCCTATAACCTAATGAATAAATTTTTAAAGTGAATAAAGTTTTACAGAGACAATGGCAGATATCTGATGGAAAAGCTAATTTTGAAAGAAGTTCTTTAACAACCATTCCAAATGTGACTACCAAGCTTTGTTTGAGTCTTCACAAACTAATAGAAAGTATGATCTATCTGGCATAATGATTAAAAGGCTGTTGATCTGCTTTGTCCCTGTAAAGGATTTTAAAAATTATATTCGCTCTTCTTCATTATTTTCAAAAGGTAAAGACTAGTGGCTCAGAACGTGATGACTGTCGTAGAGAATAAATACTCTCAGCATGTGTGTGTTGTTCGAGTGATACGTCACCATATCTCATATTACTGCCATGACTCTGAAGAAGTGAATCACATTCAACAGGTGTTCAGATTTCTTTGGGATTTTCTTTCAGTATTAGAATTTTATTTTATTTTATTTTATTTTATTTTATTTTATTTTATTTTATTTTATTTTATTTTATTTTATTTTAATGTTTATTTATTTTTGAGAGAGAGAGAGCACGAGGAGGGGAGGGGCAGACAGAGAAGGGGACAGAGGATCCAAAGCAGGTTCTGTGCGGATAGCCTGATGCGGGGCTCAAACTCAAGAACCGTGAGATCATGACCTGAGCTGAAGTCATAAGCTTAACCAACTGAGCCACCCAGGCACCCCAGAATTTTCTAGTTCCAACATCTTTTCACTCCCTCTTTCATAATCCCCAGGCAGATCAATGGTAGCTTTTTCTCTTCACATTTTGATAGGATTTCAAAAGTACAGGAAAGATTCAAGAATAGTACAAGGCACTCTCATACACCTAGATTTACCAGTTGGTTATAGCAACGATTTGACTTTAGTGTGCTAATTAGAAAAGGAGCTCAAGACAATAACCAGCTATTTACTTTTCTCTATAGACCATTTTATCGAATTTCAGGGAAAATAACTGCTTTTGGAAGTTAGAAGGAAACAAGCTGAATCGATGATACTAAAATTGTATGGGGGCCCTGGATTACCACTACAATCCTGAACAGGTTTTATTAAGACCTGATTAGCAGCACAAGGACTAGGAGTTAAATTTCCTAATGCATCCACCGTGTCCACAGCGGGTATCACTGGTCTCTGAGTTTGCTGGGGTGTTAACAGTAAGACCCCAGAAATGTCTGTTGAAGTTTGCTTCAAGAACAAGCAATCAGAAATACGATTTCATCTTTTTGCCAGTGATGGGCTAGCAAAACTCTTCTTGGATTGACACAAATAGCATTTCATTTTGTTTTCTAATTTTAAAATAAAATAATTTTTAAATAGCAAGATTTTAGCATTCTAGGTAATCATGCATTTTTAAAAGGTCACGCATAGATTTTCTTCCATAGATATTCCAATAAGAACTAGTAGTTACATCGAAAGACATTTATTTCTGAAGATAGAGTTGTATACCCCTTTGTGAAATTTGTGAGAACTGAAAAAGTTATACCATTCAAGAACTGATTAGAGAAAGGACTTGAGTTACAGACGGTGATCTAAGCTGGACATCATTTCATTTGTTCTCTAACACAGAATCCCTGCCACGACATGCAACACTGTTGAACAATATCATCCGTGTCGAGGGTAATACTACAAAAGGGTCCCCAAATAGTGACCAAACATAATACATTAGAAATAAAATGAAACTACAGGTATAGTTTATAGTTCAAAAACAAATTTTAAAAGCAGCAACATTTTTCATTTTGTGAGGAAAAGCATTAAAGGGCAGGCTTCCTGCGGTCTGGTGGGTGCCTGCATTTATGCAAATCGCTGACTACTTCAGGCCAGAATATACTGCTGTTTCTTCACCTGTTATCTTAATAGAATACATTTCTTTTTTTGTAAGTAGGATTCTTGCCCAGTGCAGAGCCCATTACGTGGCCTGAACTCATGACCCTGAGATCAAAACCTGAGCTGAGATCAAGGGTTGAACGCTTACCCGAATAAGTCCCTCGGACACCCCAAACATAATGCATATCTTAACCAAGAAAAATTCACTCTTTTAACATCTCCTTTATCTATAGATAATAAATGTATGCAGAACTGAAGAGCAGATTTTGACACAGCCAGCTGCACCAAGGAGAAGGGGACCTTTCCCAGTGGTTACTACTCCATGTGGTATCACTGGACTCTGAATCCAGCTGGCCCTCAGAGACCATTTCTCCAACTATCAGGAAAAGATCTGTCCAAAGGCATTTTAAAAATGAAACCTGACCTACACTTCAACTCTACAGCAATGGTCTGCCTGCTCAAAAACAATGTATGACCTTTAAATCTTAAATTATAAAATAGTTTGTTGAAAGTGTAATGTATTTAGGTTTTATCTAATAACGTAAGGAAATGCAATCATTTCCTCACAAAAACTAGAGAAAAAAAAAAACACAACAAAAAAAATGTCCCATTTTCATTACTTGCAAATGAAACTACCAGCCACAATACCGGAGAAGCTTTTTCAAAAATTCTGTTGAAAACTGATTGCACTTTTAATAGATATAAAAATAACAGTGCTATCTAAAGAGATACAAAGGTGAGCCTCAGTGTGAACTTTTA